ACACTTATCATTGACCAATCAAGGAGGCCCAACGTGGGTTCAATCTACAGAGTCATGCTCTGGCCGCGCGATGGGCCCAGGCATCACAGCCATACACCGGATCGGAGTCAACCATCGACAGCATGCAAGATCTGAAAAGCTCTAGTTAATTCCGGCTTTGCATGCAGCAAGGACGCGTGATCTACCCAAGCCATGCAAATCTAACAGGATACCTAGCATGTATATACGTATATACATCTGCACGGAAGGAAGCAAAGCAACTACACGTGAGGTCTACTTGCACATATCCATCATCATGGAGCCAAATACGACGACTCCAACAGCGAGCGGTCTCAGCCAGAGGCGAGCAATGCCGAGCTCCGACCACGTTGACCACGTCCCGAGCGGCTCCGCCGAGCTCCGACCACCTCGACCACCAGACCACGTCGACCACGTCCCGAGCGGCTCCGCCGAGCTCCGACCACCTCGACGACCAGACCACGTCGACCACGTTACGAGCGGCTCCGCCGAGCTTCGACCACCAGACCACGTCGCAATGATGATCGTCACGAAGAACGGCGCTATGACAACCGCGACCACCGTCACAACAGGCCGAAAAGTACGAGGATCGGACAACTTTATCGCCATCGACCAGATTTCTATCCAAAGATAAGTACACTTCTAATATTTATATTTAACACAATTTTCATTATGACGTTTCTCCACAACGTCCTCGTCATGATTATTCTTCAAATAACGCTTGTCCATGTATATCATCTTAAATATAACATATAGCTATACTTAATACAAATCCTCGACCAGTCATGTTGACGCTTGATGCCTCCATAGACGGCCCTGTCTCCGGCTCCTCTCTACACGTGCACGAGCGTCTGCCCTCTGCGTTATGGGTGGTCGGCAGCGGCTCCTTAGCGACGCATGTTCCTCCTACACGTGCACGGGCTCCGCGCTCGACGTTATGGACTATGGGCTAGCTAGGGCTGGAGACTCAGCTACACGCTAACAGGTCGGGCGATTTATATAAAGTATAAACACAAACTTTATTTTAACACTGATGTTTACAAAGCACCAACTGCTTTATCACATCATGCTCATTTGCAAATGACTGCTAAGCGTCATACGCTATTTCTTCACTACTGATTTTTTCTCCATAAATTATTATTTTGTACATCATATACTACCGTTCTATATATTTATATTGCAGGGATCTTGAGCTACGCTCGGGGACTTCGCCGCTCGCCCCTCGCCCTGTGATCGGAGACTGCCTCGACCACTCTCTGACCACAGCTCGGGGACTTCGCCGCTCGCCCCTCAACCTGTGCTCGGGGACAGACTCGACAACTCTCCGACCACATCTTGTGGACTCTGCTGCTCGCTCCTCGACCTGTGTTCGGGGACTACCTTGACCACTCTCCGACCACAGCTCGGGGACTTTGCGTCTCAACTACATGCGACTGGCGACTCGCATACAGTTGGTATATTCTTTCTCGTTTAGACCTTGCTACAAGGCTCATACCTCGCCTTCCAGCAAACTCGGGGACTACATCGGTACGATGCACCTGCCGGTGCATCTTGTATCGCTTGTATGATGATTGGATCCTCAATTTAACTGGGAATTCTTTTTAGACCCTGGCACCACGTGCCTATGTCACCTACTACCAGGCTCGGGGACTAAGTGGGCACACTTCACCTTGCGGTGAATGTGCTCGCTCTGATGGTTCAAACACCTCCGATTCTACAAGAACAACGGTGTCTCTTTTTGACTTAGAGTCAAAGTGGGCACACTTCAAGGGAAATATTTTTCAAATTTTATCTTGAGCCCCTTACATCCTTCTGGCAAGCTCAAGACGACGCTACTCGAAGGATACAAGACGCTCGGGGACTAGCTGTGGGGGAATAGACCCCCTATATCCTCATGGGTATACATGGGCCGCACCACCGGAAGTGGCCCAGCCCGCAAGATGAAGACGTGCAGAGCACGACGCTATATTGTAATTGTACCAAATTGGATACTTTACTTGTAACCTTGTCCCTTCGCAGTATATAAGGAGGGGCAGGAGTCCCCTAGAGGACAGGTCATACAGATTATACAGATCTCACCCCAGATCAATACAAATTAACAGAGCACAGGACGTAGGGTTTTACGCCACACTGGTGGCCTGAACCTGTATAAATCTTGTGTCTTATGTCTCTGTAACCATCTAGTTCCTGATTACACGCATGAAAGCTCTAGTTTGGTTTTGGTGAATTGATGAAACCCTAAGTGCTAACCTAGTTTATCAAGTGATCATGAGATAGGTAGCACACTCCAAGTGATGAAGCAAATGAAGATCATAGCATGATGATGATGATACCATGATGATGATCAAGTGCTTGGACTTGGAAAGAAGAAAGAGAAAAACAAAAAGCTCAAGGCAAAGATATAAACCATAGGAGCTATTTTGTTTTGGTGATCAAGACACTTAGAGAGTGTGATCACATTTAGAATTGATAGCCGTACTATTAAGAGGGGTGAAACTCGTATCGGAATGCGGTTATCAAAGTGCCACTAGATGCTCTAACTCATTGCATATGCATTTAGGATCTAGTGGAGTGCTAACACCCTTGAAAATGTTTGTGAAAATATGCTAACACTTGTGCACAAGGTGATACACTTGATGGTGTTGGCACATTTACAAAGGAGGTGGTGTTTGCAGGGTTGAGATGGGTTTGGATCCCTCTCTCCCAAACCGGCACTTTCTATTGCCTATTCGGTGCTTTCGGGAAAATGGAATGCCTATTTTCTATTGCGCCGAATGCAAATTCTTGTGGTTGGCACATTGGAGCAAGGGTGAAGAAGTTAGAAGTGAAAACGAGTTGATCGCGAAGACGCTGGCGTCGGTCTACTGACCGGACGCTGGGTCTGAAAGCACCGGACCCTAGCAGCGTGTGTCCGGTCAAACTGACGGGTCTGCGCAGTACCGAGTGTATTGCACCGGACGCTGATCTATGTCCGGTCAAGGTGGACCGGACGCGTCCGGTCGAAGAAATACGCCTCGGGGAGCTTACTGGAAACGACCAGACGCTGGGGCTTCAGCGTCCGGTCAGTTTTACCGGAGCGTCCGATCAGTTTTACCGGAGCGTCCGGTCAACTACGTAGCCATTGAAATCGGGCAATCGGCGTTTGAAGCCAATGACTCGTGGCGCTCATCGCACGACCGGACACTGAGGTCCAGCGTCCGGTCAATATGACCGGAGCGTCCGGTCGGCCCGTGTTCAGCCCAGTGAAGGAGTACAACGGCTCTATTTCTTTGGGGCTCTATTTATAGCCCCATGGCCGGCTCAAGCTCACTCTCTTGCACATTTTCATTGACATAGCAACCTTGTGAGCTTAGCCAAAGTCCTCCCACTCATCTCCATCATTGATCCATCATCATTGTGAGATTGGGAGAGAATCCAAGTGCGTTGCTTGAGTGATTGCATCTAGAGGCACTTGGTATTTGTGTTGCACTGCGGATTTCGCTTGTTTCTCTTGGTGGTTGCCACCACCTAGACGGTTGGAGCAGCGGTGGAGGATTGGCACGAGTTGATGATTGTTCGTGGCCATCTCCGGTGATTGTAAGGGGAGTTGTACCTTCCCGACGGAGTGCCGAAAGGTAACTCTAGTAAATTGCTCATGTCATTGAGTTACCTCACTTGTGGGTCGGTTCTTGCGGTGTCCTATCGTGTGGATGAGGTTTGTGAAACACCTCTTAGCCGTCGAACCACCAAGTGTTGGTCGACACAACGGGGACGTAGCGTGTTGGCAAGCACGTGAACCTCGGGAGAAAATCGATTGTCTCTTGTCTTTGGCATTCTCCCGGTGATTGGCTATATATTCATCTTGTGATTGGTTCATCCCCTACACGTCGGTATAATCACCCTACTCATTTATTTACATTCTTGCAAACTAGTTGATACAAGCTCTTTAGTGTAATTAGAATTGAGAGCTTGCTTTATTATTTACATTCATCTAGTTGAGCTCTTTAGAGTAGCAAGATTGAGAGCTCTTAGTGGGTAATTACATAGCAAGTTTGTGTGCCTAAGTAATCATTGCAACTAGAGTTGTTGCATAGGTGGCTTGCAACCCTTGTAGAGCTAGAGCAAGTTTGCATTACGCTATTTGTCATACTAATCAAATTGCTCTAGTTGATTTGTAGATTCTTAAATAGGCTATTCACCCCCCCTCTAGCCATATTAGGACCTTTCAACGCATCCTACCGATAATCTACCACCACGGGCACCCCCCTCGGTGGACTGCCGACTATATTTCGTCGACACAATCATTAAATTTATAATTGCTTATTTTGTACTTGCAGTCGTGAATCATAAGAATCGATAATGGAAATGGTGATGTCAATTTTATACTTTAGATCATTATATTAGTCAACATGAAAAGAGGCTGAGATGGTGATTAAATAGAAAGATTTTCTTTCTTATAATTCAAATAAAAAGAACTTCTGATAACATATATATATATATATATATATATATATATATATATATATATATATATATATATATATATATATATATATTAAACAAAAAGAAGTTATATAGAGATGCGAGGAATTTAACCCGGAACCTTAAAAAAAGCTAACATAATGTGTAACAGCTCAGAACGGCAGGATCATCCTAGGGCTCTCTATTGGTGCAGTGCTTACAATAATCCCTGTATATTTTCTTTTTATATACACTTGGGGTCGCTATGGTTCTAAAAGAGATGTCCTCTAGTATTTGCTAGCTATGCATTGCTGCTACTCCATTCGTGGAAGAAACTGTGTTGAAGGAAGAAGACAAGAAAGCAAAATCCACAGGGTTTATTGTCGCCACTCCCCCAATGGCTGCTAGCCTGCCACCGCATCATCCTGTTTGTTTTGGACGCGGCAAACAGCAGCCATTCCTTCCTCATCCCGGCATCAACGGAGCCCATGCATCCTTCCCCTGCCTTAGCCGCGCGGCTGGTTATTTGAACCACTGCCGCCATGGCAGAAGGCCGGCCTCACACAAACTCACAAGAGTCGTCACAACCTAGAAGGAGGCAGTACAGTACACATGGCTCCCTCCGTGATGTCCACATGGCGTCGTCGGCCACCGACGCCGCTCCGTTCCAGGGGCTCAAGTCCACCGCCGGACTCCCCGTCGCCCGCCGCTCCACCAACGGCTTCGGCGACGTCAGCAACGGCGAAAGGATCAGGTGCATGCAGGTAACCTCGCTCGCTCTTTATATATTTGTTAAATGTCAGTACTATCCGTTGCTCATGCTGTCATGCAACACAACAATGCAACGACACGTGTGGCCGATCGAGGGCATCAAGAGGTTCGAGACGCTGTCGTACCTGCCGCCATTGTCGACGGAGCAGCTGCTGAAGCAGATCGACTACCTGCTGCGCTCCAACTGGGTGCCCTGCCTCGAGTTCAGCAAGGTCGGCTTGGTGCACCGCGAGAGCGCGAGGTCTCCCGGGTACTACGACGGCAGACACTGCAAAAGATATTCTATTTTTTGACATTGTATATTCCTCGTAACATAGACAACTGATCTCAAGCTCACTATCTATGACATCTGTTTGACATGAACAGTCACATCAAAAAATGCGTGTCGCGAATAAATTTTTTTACTTTTGTATTTTTCATGTTACTAATTTATAACATTGGTTTTTACGTCAGCAAAATATATGACATTGATTTTTTCGTCACGGATACTTAGACCCTGCCACACGTGTGCAAGTGCCACATATGATCGGATGCTGACATGGCGCTGTGTTGTTAGATCATGAAATTGTCACAAAATTCAAATGTGGCCTATTAAAGCCCATATGACAAGCATGCTTGAAATGGGCCACAAATATATTTGAGCGATTTTTTATCGTGGTCCATTATTGTATTAGACTTTTTGGCCCATTTTTTTCTCTCAGATCATATCAGCCCAGGCCACAATTTGAACTAGGCCCACGTCATAATTTTTTGGCCCATACAGTTTTTTAATATTATTTTCAACGCAATATTCAATATATACAGCACAACCCACTCAAGCGATTCCAAAAGGTGGTTCTAGCTACCTAGCTAGCTAGATGCATCCTTGGTTACGCTGCATGTAGAAGCCCGGCTGTGCACGCACATATGTCGGACGGAAAAGCACGCGAGCGCATCGAAAACAGGCAAAGAGAGGTATCATCGGCTAGCTTTGCCGCTCTTTCACCTCCGATTAGCAATGCCTATCTGAGCAGCGAAATTAAAGAATCAAATCAATCCCTATCTGAGCAGCGACTCAAAGCCCGGGATCAAGCATTTTGTTTCCACGCATGCACGCCACCGTAGCATATATATATACACACACACACATGTGTACCTGCGTGTTGTCGAGCTCGTTGTTTCTGAAAGCTACCCAGGCAGCCAGCTGAGCTACGTACGTTCCCAGCAGACGCGTAGTAGCTAGCAGCTAGGTTTAGAAGGATGGCGGAGGCGATCATCGGGCCTCTGGTTGGGAGGCTGCAGGAGGTGGCCGTCGGCGAGGCCCGGGCGCTGGTGGGGGTGAACGCCGACATCCACCGGCTCCGGGACAAGCTCATGTGGCTGCAGGCCTTCCTCCGCGAGGCCGACACCAGGCGCCGGGCCGTCACCGACGAAGTCACCAGGGTCTGGACGCTGCAGACGCGGGACGCCGTCTTCGACGCCGAGGACGCCCTCGATCATTACCATCTCCATGTGGACATGTCCAGGTACCCACCCATCTTTAGTCGTCGATCCGCAGCACACACACTACTGCATAAAAACTTTTTTTTTTTTTGAGAAATACATAAAAACTTAACCAAGTCGTTTGGTTTTTGGGTTCCGAGATGGTTGGGCCGGTTGCCCGCCTCGGTTATTCGTGGACGGGCAGCCAGCACAGCAACCGTCTCGGTTGATCATTAACTGAGGCGGACACCGTAAGCCAACCGTCTCAGTTAATCCATGATTAACCGAGGCGGTTGCCTTATAACAACCGCCTCCATTAATGAACCATGGTCACAATTTTGTAGTTAAAAAGTTTTCGAATTAAAACTGTTTAGGATCCCAAAATATTGTTGTAAGTGCACAGATTTTAAAATTTAAAATTATCAAACGATCTCGGATATTGACATGGTCTATACAAAAGTTATAGTTCTCAATAGAATCTACAACTTTGTAGTTGAAAAGTTTTTAATTTAAAGATGTTTAGAGTCCCAAATATGTGTTCGAAGATTATAGATTGTAAAATTTAAAATTTTGAATTCCTAAACGATCTCAAATATTCACATAGTTAATAACAAAGTTCTAATGGCCTGACCTACTCTACATGTTTGATATTGACAATTTTTTGTTTTAAAGTCGTTTAGTATCTTAAATATGTGTTTGAAATTCATATGTTTTGAGACTTAATTTTTTGAATTTTTCAAAATATCTCTGATTTAGATACATCCTATACCAAAGTTGTATTACTTCACAAGATTTAAAACTTCGTAGTTAAAAGTTTTTTTATTTGAGTTCATTTAGTAGCTAAAATATCGAATATAAGATTACAAAATATTGATATAAAAATATAGCATATTATATATAGACATGAATGAGTGTGTGGTGCAATGGAATTAACGGAGGTGGCCATTTTAAGACGCCTGCATCGGTTAATGGGATTAACGGAGTCGGACACCTTAATGTGCCCACCTCCGTTAATTGATTAACCGAGGCGGGCAAAGCAACCACCTCTGTTAATCCACGATTAACCGTGACCTTTAGATAGAGGTGGTTGCAATGCCCGCCTGAAAGGTCCTAATGGCTAGAGGGGGGGTGAATAGCCTAATAAATATTTCTACAACAACACTTAACCAAATGGTTAGACAATTATGAGGCGAAGCTAGTGTTGCGCTAGCCTACTCAAAAATGCAAGCCACCTACCACAATTCTAGTTTAGATAGTGTCAATTCACACAAGAGCAATGACACTACCCTATGTTAGTGTGCTCTCAAAGGCTAACTAAAGAGCCACACCAACCAAGCATGCAAGCTCTCACAACTAGCTACACTAAAGAGCTTGTCAACTAGTTTGCGGTAAAGTAAAGAGAGTGATCAAGAGGGTTATACCGCCGTGTAGATGAATGAACCAATCAATCACGAAGATGAATAACAATGATGACCAATCACCTCGGAATCAAATGATGAACACAATGATTTTTACCGAGGTTCACTTGCTTGCCGGCAAGCTAGTCCTCGTTGTGGCGATTCACTCACTTGGAGGTTCACGCGCTAATTGGCATCACTCGCCAAACCCTCAATAGGGTGCCGCACAACCAACACAAGATGAGGATCACACAAGCCACAAGCAATTTACTAGAGTACCTTTTGGCGCTCCGCCGAGAAAGGTCAAGAACCCTCACAATCACTGACGATCGGAGTCGGAGACAATCACCTCCTCCACTCAACGATCCTTGCTGCTCCAAGCCGCCTAGATGGCGGCAACCACCAAGAGTAACAAGCGAAATCAGCAATAAACACAATCACCAAGTGCCTCTAGATGCAATCACTCAAGCAATGCACTTGGATTCACTCCCAATCTCACTATGATGATGAATCAATGATGTAGATGAGTGGGAGTCCTTTGGCTAGGCTCACAAGCTTGCTATGTCAATGAAAATGTGCAAGAGTTATCCCTTGAGCCGCCATGGGGCTATAAATAGAGCCCCCATCAAATAGAGCCGTTATACCCCTTTATCAAGGCAAAAGCGCTTACGACCGGACGCCTCGGTCAGATCGACCGGACAGCTGGCTCTCGGCGTCCGGTTGCTCGATGTCGCCCACGTGTCCAGACTCAACGGTCATCACCTCGACCGGACGCTGCTCCTTGGCGACCGGACGCCACGGCTGAAGCCTCGTGGCGTCCGGTCTTTTCGATAAGCTCCCGAGGCATGTTTCTTCGACCGGACGCGTCCGTCCACCTTGACCGGACGCAGACCAGCGTCCGGTGCTCAACCTTTCCTATCAGGTGTGCGCTGAAGTCAATAATACGACCGGACGCAGACGATCGGCAGCGTCCGTGCTTGATTCAAATTGGCGTCCGGTCCACAGGACCGACGCCAACATTATTTCGACCAACTCCATTTCAACTCTAACTTCCTCACCCTTGCTCAAATGTGCCAACCACTAAGAATTTTGCATCCGCGCAATAATAGAAAATAGACATTTCATTTTTCCAAAGCGCGAATCCCTTCGCATAAGCTTCGGCGGGAGGGAGAGGGACCCAAACCCATCTCAACCCCGCAAACACCTTGTGCACATGTGTTAGCATATTTTCACAAATATTTTCAAGGGTGTTAGCATTCCACTAGATCCTAAATGCATATGCAATGAGTTAGAGCATCTAGTGGCACTTTGATAACCGCATTTCGATACGAGTTACACACTCCTCTTAATAGTACGGCTATCTATCCTAAATGTGATCACACTCACTAAGTGTCTTGATCACTAAAACAAAATGGCTCCTACATTTTATACCTTTGCCTTGAGCCTTTTGTTTTTTCTCTTTCTTCTTTTCCAAGTTCAAGCATTTGATCATCACCATGCTATCACCATTATCATGATCTTCGTCATTGCTTCATCACTTGGAGTAGTGCTACCTATCTCATAATCATCTTGATAAACTAGGTTAGCACTTAGGGTTTCATCAATTCACCAAAACCAAACTAGAGCTTTCAATCTCCCCTTTTGGTAATTGATGACAACCCTTATACAAAGATATGAATTGAAATTCAATTGAATCCATGTTGCTTGCCCAAGCATAATTACCATGTGTAAAAGGATATGGACAAGTTTCATGAACCCTAAGTGGTAGTAATTGCTCCCCTACATATGTGCTAAGAGTTTGGATTGAAGCTTGCACATATGCTTAGATAGGAAATGTAGGAGTCAATGTCTACCATATGATGCTAAGGTATAAAAGATGGACCTTTGAAGCGTGATACCAATCGGAGTGCACCAATATACCATCCTTAGCATCATGGTTAGCTCAATACCACTTAGAAATATTTGGAAGTGAAATCACTAGATATCCTATGCATGCTAGTTTGCATTTCATCATTCAAATCTACAACTAGCATACATCACACAAACATGGATATTAAAATTTAACACTTGTGCCATGCAAGCAAACATATGTAATGCACATTCAAATGCACCATACAAGTTCATGAGCTTGCTCCCCTACTTGTGTGCTCAAAATATTAGGTTTTAATTGATCCCATTCCTTTATCATATCTCTCCCCTATGTTAAGTACTCCCCTATCACTCATATCTTTGTTTCTCTCCCCCTTTGTCATTAATGACCACAAATACTTAAATTATAGATAGGTTGGGATTATCAATGTCAATCAATGGGGTGAGGATCATTTTCCCAAATTTGGTTCAATTCTAGATTATTTCCCAAAGATATTTAACTCGGTTTGATCCATGGACAAGCTTCTTCACACCTCCAAATAAGGGTTATCTTGTACCATGTTGAGTTAAACACTTATAGTTTATTTTCTAGATTAAACACTAGGTTTACAAGCCCACAAACATGTCATATGCCATCACTAGATCAAGTCAAGCATAGAAGCAATAGTGATACCATATTGACATCGAAATTCATTTGATTTTCATGAATGAGCCTAATAAGATAGAACCACTTGCAAGGTCCTAATGAGATTGAAAATATGACTAGATGCACTAATCATGTCCTTAGCAAGAATGTATGTCATGCCAATCAACTTTTACCTTAGATTGCTCGAAGGAGAGGCATGTCATATGAGTGGGGGTTGCATCAACACATATTTGAGAAATCCAATATGTTCAACTCATTCCTTAGCTTGCAAAACCTTTTCTCATCCAATGGCTTGGTGAATATATCGGCAAGTTGATCTTCGGTGCCTACACTCTCAATGCAAATGTCCCCTTTTTGTTGGTGATCTCTTATGAAATGGTGGCGGACATCAATGTGCTTTGTTCTTGCATGTTGCACCGGATTGTTGGTTAGCTTGATTGCACTCTCATTGTCACATAGCAATGGCACTTTCTTGAACTTGATTCCAAAATCACTCAAAGTGGCCTTCATCCAAAGTATTTGTGCACAACAACTACCGGCGGATATGTATTCGGCTTCAGCGGTTGATAATGCAACACTATTTTGCTTCTTTGATGACCATGAAACAAGTGATCTTCCCAACAATTGACATGTGCCCGATGTGCTCTTCCTTTCAACCTTGCATCCCGCATAATCCGAGTCGGAGTAACCAACTAGCTCAAACTTTGCTCCTTTGGGATACCACAAACCAACATTTGGTGTATGCTTTAAGTACCTCAATATCCTCTTTGTAGCCTTCAAATGACTTTCTCTTGGTGAGGCTTGAAATCTTGCACACATGCATACACTAAACATGACATCCGGCCTTGATGCGGTCACATAGAGTAGGCTTCCAATCATAGACCGATACAACTTTTGATCCACCATATTTCCACCTGCATCACTATCCAAGTTACCATTTGTTCCCATAGGTGTGCTAATGACTTTGCTATCACTCATGCCAAACTTCTTGATCATGTCCTTGATGTACTTCCCTTGACTCACAAAAGTACCATTCTTCAATTGCTTGATTTGAAGACCAAGGAAGTAACTCAACTCTCCAATCATGGACATTTCAAACTCATTAGCCATCATCTTTCCAAACTCATCACAA